CCCTGATTCCTCCAGGTAGTGACTTTGCCATAACCAGCTGAGTTCTTATGATATATTCCTGCGGCCCGCAGCAAATGAAGATACAATGGGAGTCTCAGGTTAGATATGAAAGGAGCAAACTGGAAGAAATCAGTGAAACCAGAAGAAATCAGCATCAGGTCACAACAGTAACTAACACAGATTAAAAACAATCACTACATATAGGGAGGAATATTCAAGCCAGGCAAAGAGGAATTCTTCCTCATAGAGTAAGTGAAAAGTTTGTAATCACCAAAATTTAATACCTATAACAAAAGCATGATAGTGAATAAAGTTTAAATTACATTTGGAATGGGCCACAGAAGTTAAGCACATGTAGTAAGTCAGCAATGTGCTGATTGCATGGATTTGTCATGGCGCTCACTGTAAGAAACATAAAATGAATGATAGAAATTATTTCTCATGACCATGAAGTTAAATGGTTTCAACAACAGACTCAGGTATTCTGGGCACCCTTGAATTTTTGGTGAAGCATGGGAGGATCAGAATGTCCTGCCTCCCCCTCACAAATGCAGAGATGACAGGGATATGCAATAGAGTAGACTGAAGTTTCTTTTCTATCACAGGTCTGTTTACTTTAAATCACATGAATACACACAGTCTGTGAGTTCTTCCTCATCCCGCTGACCTGACAGAAAAATCTGGCACCCTAACACATGACCATGAAAGTTTTTCACCTGCTTCTAGGAACCGTACAATTAGACAAGCTCAGTAATTTCAAGGCCAGATGAAGACATGTTGACACAACCATTTCGGGACAAGCAGACATCCTGTGCCTTTTACAATTACTCAGTCCTAAATTAAGGATGGAGGACCTTCCATAGATTTAAGAAAACCCCGCCCTCAAGGTGAAGCAGGGCGTTCTGCTTCCCTAAGACCCTGGGTTTGGGGATTGCACTGGGTCTTTCCCTTACATGTCTGCAGAATGTGTGTTCTCTCACCCTAGTCAAAACTTTTCTATGGCTGTTAAGTCTGACAGATTTGTGTGCTTGCGTTCCAGAATTTCCCACGGGGGAACTGTTGGGACTCAGGTTTTTTCCTTTCTTAATTCTTTAACTGGCACAGAAGATGAACACAATCAAGACCGTTACACTAGGCCGGCTACAGAGTACAGTAAGGAACAGACCCCGTTTGCTCTATGGATTCTGAGAAATCTGACCGCGTCCACGTGAGAACGGCTCAGCTAGAGAAGCATGCTTCCCCACCAAAGCTGCTCACCTCAGGAGCAGGCAGGCAGCTGAGCATCATTAGTTTGCAATCCTGGACTTTGCACTATCATCTACTCCGCGCTACCAGGCAGCTCTCCTGTCCCAGAAGCCCAAGGCGGACTGGGCTGTCAAGAGGCGTCCTAAGGAAGCTGTCACTCAGGGCACAGTCCCTATCACCCTCTCCCCAGCCCTGACCTGCAACTTCACGTGACCCAGTCAGTTCAGCACAGCACCTCCAAGGCCGCTTCTTCCGCCCTCCCACCCAGCCCAGGTCCGCTCCCTCCAAGTCGGACCCCCGCACCCCGCACAGTGCGTCAGGCTGCGCTGAACCCTGGACCAACCTCCATGTCAGAGACGCAACAGGAATGTAGAGCAGGCAGGACTCTCTCCCAACTTTGCGGAAGCTGCACGCGTGAGGACTAAACGCCAGAAAGGAATTTCCTGGACGGCTCCCTGTGATGTCACAGTCGCATGGACTACATTTCCCAGAAGGCTGGGCAAAGGAATTCCTGGAATCCTTGTATGATGATATTTACTCTCCCTGGGTTGGTGTCTGGCTGCCTGCAGTACAGTATAAGAGGAAGAAGCAGAGTGCCCTAGACAGCGGTTAGGCCTGAGAAAAGCCAATTGCACGAATGTCTGATTAAAGCAATCTTCATTTTACAGGAGCACCAGGAACTGGCCGTTGGCTTTCTCCTCCAAAGTCGGTATTTCAGAGAGCAGCCCCTCAATGCCTTTTGAGGCCCCTTAATGGGGAAGGGTTAGAGTTACAGAAAATAGATGTCGAGATAATTGGCCGTTAGAACGGATGAAATTTTTTTTAAAAAAGCTGAAGTTCAATAATACATCATGTGGGAGGGGAATCATCAAGGTATCCGGGAAAACATTTTCATAAGGCAGAAGCGCAATCATATCACAGGTTATTTTTGTAAGGCAAATGGTTAGCATACATCATGGGGTCACAAGTTCAGCGTAGGTTGAAACATGTTGTGCAAAGTACTTTGGTCTTAGAAAACAGAAATTCTTGCAAGGTATGGAGACTGTATAACAATGTGGTTTCTTAACAACAATTTGGCTATTGTTTTGGTTTCAAACAGCCATGGTTAGTCAGTCTGGTGCTCATCTCCAGATAATCAACTCAAGATGTGTTAATGTGAGTCAAGACTTTGACAGAAACAGTAGGCTTACAGGGAATGTCTGGTCTATATGTTCTGATTTAATCTTACTACAGCGTTAAAAATCACATTGACTCAGTTGTACTTTGAAATGATGAAGCAATATTGTGTAGGATAATCTTTTCTGTACACTGTGAAGATCTGTCTTTGCCAAGGCACCTTCTCATTAGTTTAATAAAGACCTCAATGGCAAGCAGCTAGGCAGGAAAGGATGGGCATGATTTCCGGGGAGAGAGCAGAAGAGATGAATCTTGCTGAATGGAAAAGCCAACTATAGGCAGACCAAGTCAGGCATACAGAATTGTGGAGAGGTTAAAAAGAAAAAAAAAAGCCATGTAGATTAATTAATAAGGGCAGGTTAATTTAAGTTATAAGAACTAGTTGGGGATAAGCCTAAGTTAAAGGCCAAGCTTTCATAATTAATGAGAAGTCTCCTTGTCATTATTTGCTGGCTGGCAGTCTAGACAAGTAAGTAAAACTACACAACACACTACCTTGGGAATAAGAAGTATCTTTTTAAGATGATTCTGAAAGCATCCTTGGTGTGTCTGAATGTGTTCATGAACTTGTTCTAACTCCCAGGGTACCACGAGTGGCACTCCATGCCTCTTTCATTTGTCATGCTCATTCCATGGACTGATTTTTCTTTGGGTCACCAGCTCACAAAACAAAACAAAAATGACATGGAGACTTATTATTAATTAGGAAAGCTCAGCCCATAGCTAAGGCTTGTCCCACTAGCTCTTATAACTTAAGTTAACCCGTTTCTATTCTTCTACACGTTCCCACATGACTTGTGGTTTTTACCTCTCCTCCTGCATGTCTTGTTCCCTTGGAGTCTCCCTGGTGAGTCCAACTTTCTTCTTCCTAGAGCTCTGTAGCTAGACGTTTCTCTGGTCCTGCCTGGGCCCTGCAGTCCCATGTCCTGCTTATAAAATAATCACACAGAGGCTTAATATTATTTATAACTGTTTGGCCATTAGCTCAGGCTAACTACTGACTAGCTCTTACACTTAAAACTCAGCCCATTCCTGTTCATCTGTATGTTGCTACATGTTCCATGGCTTTACCTGTGTGCCATTATATGTTGCTCCCTGGACGGTGGGCTGGCATCTCCTGACTCAGCCTTTCTCTTCCCGGAATTCTCCTTGTCTGCTTATCCTACCTTGCTACCGGCCAATCAGTGTTTTATTAAACCAGTGTACAAAAGCATTATCCCATAGCAGAATATACTGTTATTTGACTAGTAGAAACTTTTAAAGCTTTGGCTTTAACCATATGCTTAAAAATATCTATATAAAGAGCAGGTTCCTTTGAACCACACTGTCCCATTTCTGTTGGGACAGGGCACTCACTTCTCAAGTTCTTTGATTACCTGTCCCTCCATAAACCAGGGGCTCTCCTGGCAGGTCTGCAGCACCCTCAGCCAGGATCCTATCCTCTTCAGTCCCAATACATACCGACTTCAGGTCCCTGTTCATGGTGCCACTCTGCCGAGGTCCAGCCTTGGCTAGGGTTCAGGTCCTGAGATAGGGAAGGGGTATCAGTACAAGGAAAACTTGTGATCACCAAGTGGATTACACTCATGTGGCCCCAAATAGCTCAGGTTGTCTTTATTTATACTTAAACAGAGTTTTCTCTTACCAGGGTTACATTATCGGTTTCTATTTTTGACTTTAAGAAATACATCACAATTTAAGGAATACATTGTGAGCATTATGAAAGCCCCCATTGTTCCCTTTATACTTCCCCAGATACACCTTCCACCCCCTGCACAGCCTGATTCTAGACACAGAGTTCAGCATTTTTGCAGGGTGAACTAAATATCGAGCCAGACACATCCTGCTCTGCAGCTCTTATGTCAGCTGGCGGCTACTCGTGACTACAAAGTTAAAAAGTAATAGAGATGGCCACATTGCTTTAAGGACAACAATATTCAAACCCAGAGAGTTCTTTCATGTCTGCAAGATATGTTTTTATATAGTCCCCTTTTCTAAAAGAGGGTCCCATATCTCAGTCTCTCTGTAAAAGGCAGATCTCGATAAAGCACTCTTTTCTCATCTCACCATACCATACTTCTTCCACCAATATAAGTTCTATGTATGGTAAAGATGGATCTACCCATCCCACATTTGGCACTGTATTTTTTCCTCCGGGGGCATACAAGATCCTACCAACAATTCTATGCTTGCTATCCAGGGAACTTACTCTCAACAGTCGCCACCATGTGTATCCCTGAGGCTTTCATCAGAGTCTGTGTACACATGCTCTGTTCTCCTTTCCCAAACTGTGAAACATGGTTAATTTCCCAAGGGTTGTTTTCTCACATGTACCTAACTATCTTCTTTGAGTCAGAAAAGTTCCCAGGGTTGGGAATTGTAGTTAGTAATTCCAGGGAAGGGATTTAAGAAGCAATAACCACCTGCTGAATCTTAAGGCAAAGTATTTGAAAAGGAACAGAATTTCCAGGGAAAATTACAGTTGTTGCCTGTGTGACTGACAACATAAAACTAAGAACTGCCCAAAGAATCACCAATATAATGAGAGGAAAAGAGCCTGCAAGAGTCTGCAAGCTCCACACATTTTGCAAATTCCTATGCTGTCCTGTGGTCTACTGGTCCTTGCCAAGTGAGAGTGCATTTTCACAGGTGCCTGTTCTGAGGAAACCCAGTGTACAGGTAGTCATATGCTGATGCAAAACTGGGCTGTACAGCTCCCAACAAGGGACCTCTTTTACACTGTGTGACACAGGTGTCACTTCTAGATCAGGGCCCTCCACAGGCTAATATTCCCTACACTTCAACCGGTTTGCATCTGTGTATTATTCTCCATCTTCCACACAATATTTTCTGGTGGGTGTGGAGAGGTGCCTGACTCTGTGGGAATAAAGATGAGAACTTGGGTTCATTTAGTTAGAACCCACTTATTAGAATAACAGCATTCAATTCTCCCTAGGGCTTATCATCTAGCCAGGCACAAGTATATCACCAAATTAGCATCATGTCAGTAATTATTTATGGAATGGGCTTTAAATCCAATCAGAAAGCGACTGGTTCCTCTCATAACTTCCCTATCATTATTGCTCTACGGGCACTGTTGTTTTTTATCTGATGCACAGCAGCTGCACCTGATGCCATCTCTGCCTCAGCTGATGACTGCATCTCTGCAGCTGCTGCCTTGATGCTGAGGCCTAAGACTGGAAGAGCTTTCCTGTAGTTTTAACTAAGTCATTGTCCTTTTATTTTACCAATAAGGACTCAGGAGCCAGATACTGCATGACAACCTACTAGCTCAGAGAGACAGAGATTCTTACACACCTAGGGGAGATATTACAGGAGCTTGGATGACTCCACTGGGAAAAACAAGAATAACTATGCCACAGCCCAGATCTCAGATTCCAGGTACCCTGTGGACAATTTCAGGACATGGTGAAGGTTTCAGGGAACATTTATAGTTACAGCAGAAAGAGACTCATTAATCAAGGCAAGTTTCAAACACACTGCTTGAACAAACTGTTGGATGTTACAGCAAACAGAAGTCTCTACTCTTCTCTGATGACATTCTTAACATTTTTGCTATTGGAAGTTAGAGATTCCTGTTGACAATTCAAAATAATTAACCTAGTATTCTCTACTAGGGTTCATTCATTAGAGGTGGATAAGATCTGAATTGTTAGCTATTATTTTACCACACTTCACATATTCATGGAGTTTGTAGTCAGAATGAATCATGTGATGCATTTTAAGAGTTGAACAAATAAACTTTTTAAGACATGTGTAGGATTTCTCTCTGGTATGAACTAATATCATGTGTTGAGTAAGGACATAAAGATTAACAAAGTCTTTGTCACATTCCCCGCACTTTTAAGGATTGTCTTCAGAATGAATTTTCTTTTTTTGTTTATGTCGCCTAAGGGATGAAGATGATGAAAAACATCTGCCACACTCTTCACACTTGTAAGGATTATCTTCAGAGTGAATTGCTTGATGTCGGCGAAGGGATGAAGATAAGTAAAAACATTTGCCACACTCATCACACTTGTATGATTTCTCTCCAGTATGAATTGTCTGATGTTCTTGAAGGTTTGTAAAGTAGGAAAACCTTTTGCCACACTCTGAACACTTGTAGGGATTGTCTTCGGAATGGATTGCTTGATGTCGTCTAAGGGATGAAGATGAGCAAAAACATTTGGCACACAACTCACACTTGTGTGGTTTCTCTCCAGTATGGACTGTCTGATGTTCTTGAAGGCGTGCAAAGGAGGAAAACCGTTTGCCACACTCTGCACACTTGTAGGGATTGTCTTCAGAATGGATTGTTTGATGTCGAATAAGGGATGAAGAGGAACAAAAACACTTGCCACACTCTTCACACTTGTAGGCTTTCTCTGCAGTGTGAACTGCCCTGTTCCCGATGAGGAAGGCGGGTTTACTAAATCCCTGCGCACTCAGTTCACACTGGTAGAATTTCTCTGCAATATGAACTCTCATGTGTCTCCAACAGGCTGAGTATTTACGAAAGGCTTTGTGACATTCTTCACACTTGTATGGTTTCTCGCCACTATGAATTCTTTGATGTACCTGAAGGCGTAGAGAATAAGAAAACCTTTTTCCACATTCTTCACACTTGTAGGGCTTCTCTCCAGAATGAATTCTTTGATGTTGCTTTAGCATTGAAGGATAGTAAAATGTTTTGCCACATTCTTCACACTTGTAGGATTTCTCATCAGTATGATTTTTCTGGTGTATAAAAAGTGATGAGAGAGTATTAAAGGTCTTATGACATTCTGTACACATGTAGGGTTTGTCTCCAGTATGAAGTCTCTGGTGTATAGAAAGTGCTGAGCGAGAACTAAGGGCCTTACCACATTCTTTACACTTGTAGGGTTTTTCCTTTGTATGAATTCTCTGGCGTTGAATATGCAGTGAGTTACAATCAATGGTCTTGTCGTAAATGTTATAATCATTGGTTGTTATTCCTGTTGAGCAAAAGTTGAGATATGAACAAAAGCTAAGAAATATTCTTTATTCTCATAATGCTTACTTTTATATGGAGATATTTACTTATACATATTGAAGCATCAATAGAAACTATAGAACATTTCAAAACTCATAGGCAGTGAGCATGAAAGATATAATATTATAGGTAGGAATTAACTATATTCTTACTAGAAACAAGGCACAACCAAATAGATTATAGACATAATGGCATATTATTAAAGTTTTAATAGCTAAGTAAGTTGTAAGAGCATTTTACTAGCAGAAATAAGCCCCTTAAAGAATAGAAATGTTATATGTCCAGACACCCATGAAATTATAAAGTATCCAGACCTGGAAAAGAGAAAGTTAATTTTGATTGTGTCAAAATACAAAACTTTTATTTTCCACATAGAGTTTTATTTTGGAAGGTACAAAAGATATGCTCTGCACAAGCAGTAGATGGTCCACAAAAAAATTAAGTTTATAGCTCGAAAATTGGGACAGTAATTTATGTTTTATTTGGATGACAAGAAATTATATAACTGAAACATATCGAGGCATGATTTAAAAAAAAAAAAAACCTTCGGGTTCACCTGTGAATTACAGTAATTTTGCTGAGACAACATATTTTTCAATGAATAGATAGACAAAATGACTTATTTCCTATAGCACAAATCCTAATTGGTCTTATTAAAAACCCAGCCATATACCAGGGTAAATGCTGAAAGATCTGTAAAGGAGCCAGCCACTAGAGAAACTTCTTACCTCTGCTGAATCGTCAGCCAGAAAGGGAGAGAGATCCTGTCTCTACGAATACTCAGACTGAAGGCTCCAGATCCTGTCTCCGCCTGCCTTATATTCCTATCTCTACCTCCCTGGTGCTCGGATTAAAGGTGTTAGCCACCACCACTGCCTACCTGTTTCTCTTTTAGACAGATTCAATCTCATGTAACCCAGGGTGGCCTTGAACTCCTGATCTTCTTGCTTCCTCCGCGCAAGTGCTGGGATTAAAGGTGTGTGTCACCACTTTCTGGCCTCTAGTGGCTAGCTCTGTCCTCTGATCTTCAGGCAAGCTTTACTTTTTAGAGTACTAACAACATTTCGCCACAATTTCCTTTTTTCTTTGTTTTTGCTTTATCAAAACAAGGTTTCTCCACGTAGATCTTGCAGTCCCAGAATTCACTATCTACACCAAGCTAACCTCAAACTTAGAAATCCACATTTCTCTGCATCCTAAGTGCTGGGATCCGTGGAGTAGGACACCATACCCAGGCAATAAGATTATGTATTTGTAAGATTTATTCATTTACAAGAGTAAAAAGCTATTGAGCACTAAATAGAGAGACAAGGAAAAAGGCATGAAAACAGGAAACTGGTGTTTACCTATAGAGTGGAATCTCAAAGCAGAGCTCTTAGATATTTTGTAATCTTACACTGTCCTTATGTACTTTGTCAATGTGTTTTATCCATCTACCGAAACATACAGGGGATGCATAGCAAGTGATTATAGGCTATATACTGCTGCAAGCCACATGAAAATGTAATGAAATCCAGCTACTATCACAAAAGCTACTTCCAAATATTAAGCCATGGCTTAAGAAGTCTTAGTGATATTTTAACTTTTGTATATGTCTGCGCTAGTTCCTAAAACGATTTTCTTGTGTGCTTCCAAGAACTCAAAACAGTGTATTTATCTAAAATACCTATCAAGCATCCAGGGCAAACATTCTCCTAAACTAAGGTAACACCTTATGGAAACAACACCTGTCTCCTAGGTCAGGCGGATAAATTTATTTCTTATGCAATTTATGGTGAGATCCTCCTTTCTTATACAGCCTTGTTAACATTATAGTATCCGAACTTCTTACCTAACCACTTCAAAGAATGTAGACTGAACACATAAATCCCCTTTTCTTGATATAGTAACCTATCATTAGCTCTCAGTTGACCTCCTCTTTTACCACTACCTTTTTGGGTTGTAAAAGAAAGCCTAACAGTCACTGCCTGTGGAAAATTCTGAATTCAAGTATGGTGACCTGGCTGGAAGAGAAGGATTACTATTGCTTGGGTTTATAACTGAGGACCTCAGAGACTTGGATGGAGAATGGAGAGGGATAAGGAGGATTTTGACTAGAGAACTTGAGGCTGAGATGAGAAGAACCTAGACGAGGCAGAATTAAGAGATCAGAGAATTAAGATAGAACTTAGAGGGGACAGCACATAAAGGTAGAGAGAAATCAGGCAAGAAAGGAGCTAGGCACGAGAACAGAACTGAAGGTGTGTAGATAGGATGATGGGTGATGTCACTATGTATGCTGTGAATATGTTGCTCTGACTGGTTGATAAATAAAATGCTGATTAACCAGTAGCCGAGCAGGAAGTATAGGCAGGATAAGCAGAAAAGGAGAATTCTGGGAAGAGAAAGGCTGAGTCAGGAGTTGCTAGCCAGACACAGAGGAGGCAAGATGTGAAAGCAGAACTAAAAAAAGGTACCAAGCCATGTGGCTAAATGTAGATAAGAATTATGGGTTAATTTAAGTGTAAGAGATAGTCAGTAATAAGCCTGAGCTAATGACTGAGCAGTTATAATTAATATAAGCCTCTGTGTGCTTACTTGGGGGACACGAGTGGGAGAGATTTGTCCCAACCACCAGCCAGCTGGAACACAGGAAAATTTCCAACTACAATAGGATTTTATCCCAGAGGAATAAATTAGACGGATAAAGAACATGGTGTACTTAAGATTCATTTCCTGAAAAGAATTCTTGCTGTTCATAGTTTCTCATCTGGGACCCTGGGAAGAATACTATTCAGGCTAGTCCTTTAATAATATTCAAGAATACACACCTCCAAAATAATACCAAAGAATATCAAATTGCAAAGTAAAGCAAAAAAATTTGAAGCCACAGAATTTGGGAAGCTTATTGGTGATCAATTAAACAAATACTCCTAGCTACAGACAGTTTTAATCTTTGAATATATATCCACAAAGGGCATGCACTTTAAAACCTTATTAATGAGTGTGAAAAAGAAATTCTTTAAAAGATATCTTCTTCAAAGACAGAGAACTCTGATGGGGTCACTTTCCTCAACATGTGTGTAAGTGACATGAAAGAACTCATGTGTGAAGTTAGGTTCATACAATGGTCTCACACCTAGGTATTTAGAAATGTGTGCAATTTTCAGATGTGTAGAAAATAGTACAGAGTCTGTTACTCAACTGTCCAAAGTGACTGTTTTTCCTGAGTTTAACCAACTGGTCCCCCAACTGAACAATCCTACTGAGAAGATGTTCTCACGCAGCCTCACTGGCAGGTTTGGAAGGTTAACTGTTTTACAACATAAAACAAATTGTGTGAATCAATGGAACTAACCATTTTGGATTTTAGGTCCCTGGCCTGTGTGTGGTATGATGTAACTGTGGGTTTGGCTTTATAAAGCCAATTAAACTCGGGTTGGAGAGTGCGGGAATGACCACTGCATTTCCTGACACAAAACGCAACACTGTCCTTCTGGTCCTCCAACGGGGTAGGTGTGGGTATTTTTGTCTTGTCCAATATCTGGTAAAAAACCTGACAGGGACTCCTTCCTGGGTCTTCGTCTAAGAGTAAAGATGTTTACTAAAGAGGTAATAGATACATTTTCAATTGAATCCACACCTTATGTCACTTCTGTGGATGCCGAAGGAGTGACTGTATCGTCCACTCCATCTGTGTTCTCTCTGCTGTTGTTCTGGACCTTACACTTTGTCACCTTTCCTGACCCTCCTTGTGGAACAGAGAGTCAGCCACTCTCTGAGCTCACTGTGGATTCAAGGCTACTGGACGCTGTGGGGTTCCTCTGTCCTCCTGCCTGTCCTCCATGGGCAGTGCCAACGTCCTCTCTGAGGCTGTGTTAGTGGGTCTGGAAACTCCATGTCTATTCCTCTTCAACCTGCTCATCCCTCACACCGAGATCTCCCTTATGGTATTATGATGAAACAGGCTACTTAATATAGAAGGTCTACAGGACCAACTTAGACTTTATACAGTACACTATAAAGGGTTCAAGAGACTGAGGTTCCCAGTTCCTCCATGAATTGTGTTTATATTTAAATTTTGTTTGGTATAAAAGATTTTCAGTTCAACACTCATAATTTTAGAGTGTGAAATTTTTAACAGAGATGAATTACTTTCATGTATAAAGTTCTAATCTGATGAGAGTCACTAATTTATTGTAAGCTGTTACAATAAAGGCAATTATGGCATAATTGTTAACGATGAGTCACCTAATGAATGATGAAATAAACATAGTGTGCCCAAAAGTGTGTTTATATTCATGCTAAATACAAATATAATTCATCTAATAACAATATTAGAGAGAAATTTCTACCTTCCATTGTACAGTACTCTGTACATGGCATGAAAGTTAAGCCTAAAGCAAGTAACAGAATCAAATCTAAGTTCAACTATTTTTTGCTTACTATGGAATAATATCAGAATTAGATGTACTTGAAGTAACTGGTTATTGGGCCAGGAGTGGTGACATATGCCGTTAATCTCAGCACTCAGGAGCTGGAAGATCATTCTGATTCAGTGTAAGCCTGGACTACAAAGCCAGTTGCAGCATAGCCAGGGCTACGCAGAGAAACCCTGTCTTGAAAACAACAACAAAATAAAAGAATATAAAACTGATTATTGCAATTGAACACTTGTATGCATGAGTAAAAAGAGTTAAATCTACACTACACTTGCATGGCAGGACACACCCAGGATAGATTACACATGTACCCTCAGATGGGACACAAACCTACTAGAAATAATGGCATTCTTGTTTCAACACAAGATAAGGATGCATGGGGAACAGGACTTGTCAGTGTCTGCTGCTCCTGTCTCCCTCCAGCCCATAAGCCAGACCAGGAAATCCTATTCCTTATCTGTAGGGAAAATAATTCACTCCTCAGGTCCCATAGACAAGGTGTGCATTCTCTCATGCTGAGGAGGATCTTAGACTCTGCACCACATTCTAAATGTGTCACGTGCAAGAGGCCTGCTCTCCCCTTTTAAAGGGTTCCTCTGAGGAGGAGAGAGGATAAGAAATGTTTTAGATAGAAAGATAGTGGAGAAGAGAAAGACAGAAACACAGGATAGCTTCGGGAAGACTTCTGTCTCTTCAAAGGGGCTTCTTATAACAATGCCAAGGGGTGGGGCAAAAGACCTCCCCCTTGCTAGATCAAAGCATACCACACAGCCAAGTGGAGACCCTTCCAAACATCTGGCAACCATGCCTGTGGTCCAATCATTCCCTTATGTAGCAATGCTGGGTAAAGGAAGCTCAGATCTCGCTAGGAAACCTCTGTAGATCTCCACCGCTCCCCCTTCTTAATGTATTAAAGGGCCCGTCAGACCCCTCAGATAGACTGTACCAGCCTTAGGTCATTCTTCTTCTCTAGTCAACCTTACCTGTTCTTGAGATACACTGTCCATCAAGCATATTCTGTCTTAGATTGGAAGCTAGCAAGAAAAATATTTCCCATTCCTGACTACCAGCCTCTCACAGGGGAAGTACAGAGCTTAACTCAGTTCTGACTTAGGTCTCTACTAAGAGCTTGCAGGTAGTTGAAACAACCACAGCAATCCCTAGGACTGCCACAGACCCCAATAAAAGAATAGAGAATGACCAAGATGGAATGTCCTTTTAGAATGCATTTAAGATGTCTATAACAGCCTTAGCTATGTCAAGCCCTTTTTTAATATCAATGCATCAAATAAATCAATAAACTTCAGATGCAACTGCATCAAACTTAAAGACTCTTTAAGCTTCACCAAACCATGGTTCATTAATAACAACATATTTCTAGTATGAATATTATTATACATATTTACAGTTCTTACATTCAAAAGCAAACTCTCTATAGGACTAGTTTACAATCTTAAGAAAACATCTACAAGCTATCTCTTAAAAGAATTGCTTACATTATCTTCCAACAAAACTAAGAGTACATGAACTGTGAGTCACCACAGTTAAAACTGTAGGTGAACTCAAAACTGTTTCATTTTTGATGTTTGCAAAGGCTCAGTAAAATCAGTTCTAATTACAGTCTTAAAGTTCTGCTAAAAGTTTGAAATCAGAGCCTAATTTATCAGTGGCTCTAGAGTCTTTGTAATCAGCTCCCTTGACCTGGAATTCAGTGAGTGCTGCTGCCAGGGGGCTGCAACACTCTGGATAATGCCGCTGCTTTCCCCATCCCCTCCAGCCACCTTCCCTGCTGGGCCTTCTTAGCCATTCAGGGACCTGGGGAAGTAGGCCCAGTGGCAGACCTTAACCAGTAGCCAGCTGGGAAGCAGTCCCTTTACCTAAATTCATTGCAGTTCCCCTGAACACAACAATTCAACTAAGTTCAAACAAACATTGCTGAAACCTCACTTCCAGCTACAGAGCCACTTTTAATTGAGCTTTCCCTAGGACGAAGATGGAATTACCACACTGAGCAGCCTTTCTGCTCAGCTAGTAAGACCCAGGAACCATTTCTTAAATGACCCATGCATTCATTTGCAGCTAGTAATCAGAAGCAGCATGGCTCCAGGCTCCATTTCATTCAGTCTGAATGAACTGTCAAAAGTGACTGGTTTGTCTGAGTCTTCTCCAGCTGCTCCCCACCCCCACACTGTTCCAATCACCAGAACGGAAACTGCATAGTCTCCTGTCCCTCCTGCCTCTCTGAGATGGAACTGTGCATTAGGCTTTATAAACCCAATCACGCTCACTTCGGTGCAGAGATCTTCCTGGCATGAGTCTGGTCTCAAACTCTGCAAATAAATGACTCAGAATCTGACCAGCACAGAGTTCTCTTTCCCTGAGTCTTACACTACAATGGAGAATCAACAAAAAGAAAAACCTTGGAAGTCACTGTCAATAGAAGCACAGCTCACTTTTGGGGAAATACAAAGCTTAAGACATTTAAGCCATCATAAACTTCTGAGAGATGTGCTCCTTGGATAACAAAGACATGAAGGAGAAACCTAAAGAATTATTCCCATTGTATCATGTTTCAAAGAAGATGAGAAAGCCTGCCTTTCTACTGGATATTTGGACCTCAACTCTGCCCCTGAACCCCTCATTCCTACACACCTGGGTGCACAATGGCTGCTGCTTGTCCCTTCACATCTGAAGATTCTTGTCCTTGCTCCAAAAATGTCACCAGGTGTGGCTTAGACACAGCAAGACCTGTTTGCAGAAAAAGAGAACAAGATTGTTTATGTGTTCTTTTACTTGGAATTGACATGTGCCTTCCAGTACATGGCTTATAAGGAAAGAGATGATGAAATAAATGATTGCAGACAATCAGTTCCTTAAATGTTTTCTTACAGGATAACTATATTACACAAGGAATTAAAAAGCATTCTGAGTTTCATTTAAAGGGAAAAAACATTAAAACTAAATTGTGAAACACTGTTATTAACAAGTGTACTCCATGTCTCATGCCATTGAATTTCTAACATTCCCACTGGAGTGAAGGAAACATACATCCAACACAGAAAGGTTAAACACAAAAAGAAAAACAGTGAAATGATTCTTTTTCTTTAATGATCTATTTTTATTTTTTATGGGCATTGGTGTTTGCCTTTGTGTATATCAGTGTGAGTGTGTCAGATCTTGGAATTACAGACATTTGTGAACTGCTATGTGGGTGCTGGGAATTGAACCTCAGTTCTCTAGAAGAGCAATCAGTGCTCTTAACCACACCAGCCCACAAATGATTTTTAATACTCCTTAATCTCCTTAATTTTTCTGAAAAGAAAGGATTTGAAAATAGCTGTTGAAATGCTCCCATGAGATACCATACAAAGTGAGGAAGCTACATGTTGATGGTGAAATAAGAATTCACTATGGATGAGAGCCTCACCAAGGAACACAAGGTTGCTGTAATTCTCCAACATCACATCCCTGTACAAATTCCACTGAGCATGCTCCAGGCATTCCTTCTCTTCGGCAGAGAACTCAATGGCCACATCCCAGAAGGACAGCATTTCCTGGAATAAAGATCAATTTATGATACCGTACTTTAGTTTAAGAAAAGCCATTAATACTATAAATACCAATATACACTGGGCTGGAGAATTTTCCTGTCTAAGGGGCATTTTCTTAATTAGTGATTGATATGACACAGCACAGGGCATTATGGGTGGTGCCTGTCCTGGCCAGGCATTCCTACATGGTATAGGAAAGTAGGCTGGGCAAGTCATAAGCAGTGTTCTCCTCTGGCCTCTGCTACAGTTCTTGCCTCAGGTTCCTGCCTTGAACTGTTAACTGAAGTTGTAGTCTAAAATAAACCCTTTCTTCTCAAAGATGTCTTTCATCATGGTCTTCATCACAGCAATAGAAACCCTAACACAGGCATCATGTGCCTGTGGACATAAATCTAGATTCTTCCCAGGATGAAAGAGAGCCAGAAATATTTCTTACATAGGTGAGTAATATTCCTCAGATATGTCCAATGTGGTCATATGATCTCACACTGGATCCATCTTCAAGGAAAGTCAAGGCAAAAGATTCTATAAATTCAGTTGAGCACGATCCATTTAAGACAGAAATATAAAATGAATGCATCCACAGAACATGTATTTAGTACCATATGTACTATACACCACATCTATACATTTCTCACAGGAGAAAGTCATGTTGGGGGAGAAGGAGTTTCTCAACAGTTGATATCCACAATGATGAATGTGAAGTGAAATGAAAATACAGAGTCTGATGCAGCAGCTCGGGCCGTCATCTGGGTTTCAGAATTTCTGCAGAGAAATGTCTTTAAATAAAGTATAGATTTAGCCGGGTGGTGGTGGTGGCGGCGGCGGCGGCGGCGGCGGCGGCAGCAGCAGCAGCGGCGCACGCCTTTAATCCCAGCACTTGGGAGGCAGAGGCAGGTGGATCTCTGTGAGTTCGAGGCCAGCCTGGGCTACCAAGTTAGCTCCAGGAAAGGCGCAAAGCTATGCAGAGAAACCCTGTCTCGAAAAACCAAAATAAATAAATAAATAAATAAATAAATAAATAAATAAATAAATAAATAAAGTATAGATTTGAACAGCACTGAGGAGGCCTGCAGATCTTCAAGAAACAGGCAGAATGTAACAATTGGGTGAATAGAACACCCAGTAATTTCTCAAGGGAAAAGAAAACTGTTTTAGAAGCCTATTTGTACCTAGTATAGAATGTTACCACCTTTAGAAGTAAGTGAAAGAAAAAAAAACACAGATCCCACTCTGTTTTAACCGGGGCACTGGTTCTCAACATGTGGTCTCTACGACCCCCTTGACAAACCTTCATCTCCAAAAGTGTTTACATTACAGTAAACAACCTTAGCAAAATTACAGTTATAAAGCAAAAAGGAAAGTCATGTTATGGTTGGGGGTCACCACAGTATGAGGAGCTGTATGATAGGGTCACAGCGTTGGGAAAAGTGAAACTGCAGAACTATGTTTCACCAAGACGGAATAAATACCAGGAGGGCCAGAGCCCAGAGGATGAAAATGGAAACATTAACCCCTGAGAGAACTTGAGGAGCCCCCATAGCAGAGTCAGCTGTAAGGATCACTCCCCACATTGCCCAGCACAGATAGCACCATTCTACATGGGGAAGTGTCTGCTGTCCTGGGGCCAGTCTCCGGTGAGAAGCTGTGGGTGGTGGGTAGTGCACCTGTAAACAGGAGAGCATTTATGAGGGATTTCACCCAATATTATTAATGGCAAACATTTCAGTGGCATTTGAAACTGGCAAAATTCACTTTTAATGGGGAAAATGCAAATTATGTCTGGTCTGAGGGGCCACATTGCTATTCATTAGAAATTGTTACACATTCTTCCTATAATTGGGAGATGGATATAGAACTCCACTTGAATGGTGCCTGTCCTAGAGGCCAGCCCAGGACAACAGAATGGACAGAATAGATGTAATAAGAACTCTTGCATCCCCTGTTGGTGTCCTTCAGAGATCTTTTCAGAGAGTCACACAAAACTGAAGACTAACAGATCATTGGTGGGAAATCAAAATGATATGCATAGAGAAGACTGGATTCCTGGTCAGGAACTAAAAAATAATAACTCTCCATTGAAAATCGCCTATCTACCGATTACATAACATAGTCCTTTAAATACACAGCACACACATCATGAAGAAGCAACTACAGGATCTTTGTCCCAGATAACTGTGCTATGAAACAATCACTACTTTTTGCTTCAAGCCATGAAGTTTTGCAATTTTATGACTTAGAAAGTGGATTAAACCATGAAAAGAAATGGTAGACCAATTATAGTATCTGTTTTGCAAACATGAATTATATAATTATAATATCAGTTTCAAAATAAGTATCACATGCTTTGCCCTACACAGTAGATGTATTTGTGGATTTTAGTAGAGATGACAGGGATGTGCAATAGAATAGACTGAAGTTTCTTTTCTATCACAGGTCTGTTTACTTTAAATCACATGAATACACACAGTCTGTGAGTTCTTCCTCACCCTGCTGACCTGAAACAAAAGCCTGGCACTGGAACCCAAGGCCATGTGAGTTTTTCATCTATTCCTCACACCCTGCTTCGGGACTAGCTCCACAAGCTCAAGACCAGCTTGAGACGTTGACACAACCGTTGTGGTCAACCCTACACAACCATTTTGGGCCAAGCAGACATCCTGTCGTTTTTACAGTCGGTCCATCCTACATTAAGAATGGAAGACCTTTCAAAGGTTAAGAAAACCCAGCCCTCCCGGTGAGGCCCGGAGTCAGCTTCTCCAGTTCCTTCTTTCTGTAGACGGTCCCTCTGTGTGGGGGTGTATGTGTGTTCTCTCACCCCCAGTCAAAGCTTTCCTATTGCAGCTGATTCTGGCAGATCTATTTACTGTGTTCCAGAATTTACATGCGACCTGTTGCGCCTCGGATTTTTCCTTTCTTACTTCTTTAACTGGTAGACAAAATGAACACGATCAAGACTCACTAGGCCGTCTACAGAGTTCAGGAAGGACCAGACCCCGTTTGATCTACAGATTATGAGAAATCTGACAGCATCCATGTGAGAACCGCTCAGCTAGAGAAGCATGCTTCCCCACCAAAGCTGCTCACTGAGCTCCCAGCTCCACCTCAGGAGCAGGCAGTCAGCTGACCATCATTAGTTTGCAGTCCTGGACTTTGCACTATCATCTACTCCGCGCTACCAGGCAGCTCTCCTGTCCCAAAAGCCCAAGGCAGACTCTGGGTGCACGCAGCGTCCTAAAGAAAGCATCACTCAAGGCACAGTCCCTATCGCCCTCACCCCAGCCCCGACCTGCAACCTCACGTGACCCAGCCAGTTCAGCACTGCACCTCCAAGGCAGCTTCTTCCGCCCTCCCACCCAGGTCCGCTCCCTCCAAGACGGAGCCCCGCACCCCGCACAGTGCCTCAGGCTGCGCTGCACCCCGGACCAACCTCCATGTCAGAGACGCAACAGGAACGTACAGCAGGACAGGACTCTCGCCCAACTTTGAAGAATTAGCACACTTTCAGACAGAATGCACAAGTACTGTTTCCGGAGTGGGTCCCTGTGATGTCACAAGGACCAGACTACATTTCCCACAAGTCTGCGCGTAAAAATTCCGGGAACCCAGGTTTGGCGATTTCTTCTGTTCCTGGATTTGTGCCCAGCTACTGTAGTAGAGAATGTGCAGAAAAAGTGGATTCAGCAGGACAGGGGTGGGGAGTGAGGCTGGCGTTCACTTTCAGATCCACAACATGAGATGTGTGAATGTGAGTTGAGCCTTTGACGGAAATATTAGGCTTAGAGGCCATTTCTGGTCCATATCTTGTGATTTTAATCTTACCACAGCATAGAAAAAACAAAAACAACAACAAAAATAACTTTGACTTGGTCTTGCTTTTAAATTAAAAGAAATACACTAAAGTAAGAATGAAAAGAATGATTTTAAGGTGATTTTTGGAAATAGCCTTAGTGGTGTCTGTGCCTATGTTCCTAGCTCCTCAGTGACTTCTGGAAGATCCTAGGCTGGAATGGATAATTTATGGACTTTTCTTCCTTAAAATACACACACACACACACACACACACACACACACACACACACACACACACACACTGCTGAGATAGCCAATGGTAAAGCACTTGAATATAATGTATGCTTTGTCTTAATGCCCAATACTACAAATTAGTCAATAATCTTTGTTCTTCTCCACTGACAAGCTATGTGAGGTATGCATGGATTCGACTCCACAGCTTGAAAAAATAGTTAGATGTGAACATTGTAGTCTGTACAGTGTAGAAGAAGGTTCATCAGAGACACAGAAATGGTATAAATTGCTGCACAAAGTTAAAAGTCCCACTCTCTCCCATAATCCATCTCAGGATTTTTCCACCTGTCTGTAAGTCTCTTGAAAAACTTTAAACTGTTAATCTATGTAAGAATTCATTTTTTTGGGGAGATCTCCACTAGAATTTACCAGTGTCTCCGTGGTTTTTCACAAACACAGGTCCATGTTCACCACCTGTGTGCTGGGAGCTCATGCTTGCCTCCTCTCTCCTCTCTAAGTAGAGGGACCCAGCTCCTTGGATCACACTGGTGTGTATAATGACCACTGGTCCGTTATGTGTTGTTGGAATTCCCTATGCAGAGGTTTGATCTGCCATGTTCAATTTCCTTTGTCTTTCATGATACTGAATTAATTCCTGTGTGACATTTTGAAAGTTGAGTGAATCTGCTTTGAATTTCCCTTAGTTTCCCCAAATCAGGACACAGAAAGTCTTCTTTCTGAAATGCAAAGATATAAGACATAACAAATGAGCTCATTGGTGTTTGACTACAAAATACCTCACATTTAGTCTCTACCCTGGCAATCTCCCCCAGGTTCACTTTCATTTCTTACTAGGAAAGGCAATTAGTCCATTCCTCAAAATCTCCTTAGATTTTAATAGTTCCAACACTGTCAAAGTTCAGTCTCTTGAATTTGTCATCCAATTGCATATCCCACAGTGCTTACAACATGCCATGGAGAACTGGAAATCTGCTACTGCGAAGGGAAGAGTATCCAGCTACCAGCAAAGACAGGAACACAAAACAGAAATGTGTGAAAATCCCAATACTACAAGATCACATGCATGGCATCTGAAATTCGTTTTTTCTTTCTTTCTTTCTTTCTTTCTTTCTTTCTTTCTTTCTTTCTTTCTTTCTTTCTTTCTTTCTTTCTTTCTTTCTTTCTTTCTTTCTTTCTT